ATTGCCTTCCAGTAAATTGGTAACTTTGAAGCATGTGTTTTCACAGCTGTTAGAAACAATAGTCCAAGCAAGGCGGCTGATCCCAACGCCATCCAGTGCCCGCTGTGCCGAGGCCTCACCCCCCTCCCCACCCTGGGCCTGGCCCGGTTGGCCACCAACTCTGACATGCTGTCCTACCTGCCGGCCGCCATGCAGCGAGTGTACAGCATCCGCTTCGTGCGCAACAAAGGGAAGCTGCAGGTCAAAAGGTAACAATATATAGCTTTTTTTAAAGACATACCATTTAACAATTCAACAACATGCTGCCTGTGTTTCTCACTTTTAATGCTTTTTTAAAAAGCTTCATAGTTATGGGTCTCAGGGTTCTCGGACTAACCTACGACATTTTAAAACTACATTTAAAATGTAATGAATTTATTTCTTTGGTATTGCTGCTTTTTATCTTTTGATTTATGGGATGTTGGTTAAAATTAATATGCAATGTAAATTGATTGCAATATTATCAATTGAATACAATTTTTATTTGCCCAATGTGCCAGTTTTTTACCCAAAAAATACAAATGTATTTTAATACTACATTTCTATTTTTTGTGTGTTTTTATTCAATTGATAATATTGCAAATCAATATGTTTGTTCAATGAATCACATTCATTCAATGTATCATTCTCTAACTGATTGTTGTTGTAGTGTCGATTTGACTCATACAAACAAAAAATCTCTAAATCATATGTCCGCCGAGTTGCCAGAGAAAATCCTAAGAGGCCCTATTGTGCTTTTTTTGGTTTCCCCTTTCCTGTAGTGTGCTGTATAGGTTTTTGTGATTTAAATGGTCTGAAAAAAAAATCCCAAAGTTCCATCCAGAGGTGAACAGAGGTGCTGAAGCACAGGCAGTATGAGGAAAAAAAACAGCCTTTTTAAAAGATATTAAAGCATGGAGACATGTCACAGAGTAGAGGCACTTAATACAAATATAAAGCTGAAAAAGAGCATTATCAGGTCCCTTTTTTAAATCAACCATAACAATGTTAGTTTATAATTACAGAACAAATAGATCAATAACGCTCTGTTTCTCATAAAGGTCGACCGAAGGTCACCTGCGCTGGACCTCTCTGAGGACCATGAACCGCTCACTTGACGTGGGGCTTCCTAGCCCACCTGTCACGGGCCGCTCAGAGGTGCCTGGCCTGGGCGGAGCTCTGTTCCGACTGACGGGCCGGCCCGTGTGCCGAGCCTTCCTCCTGACCGCCGTGGTGATGATGATGGTGCTGCTGACCAGCATCATCATCTTCCTCCTCCATAAAAACAAGGATAGCGGTGAGTGACATCACATCCTGTCTTCCTCCTGCTTTTATATCTGTGTTGGGAAAAATGTTCTTACAATTCCATCATCCTGAGGGAATTGAATGCAGTTGGTGAGCAACATCTGTCTCACTGCTCTGGCAAAAAAAAGAAGAACATTTCAGGCTGTGAGACAACAAGCAACTCCTAACTCTGACATCTGAAGAAAGGAAGAGCTGCTCCTTCAACACTCACACCTGAGCTGAGACAATGGACTATTGTTTTTTTTTTAAGTGCCACAAGTTCCCAAAAAAATCACACAACTATACTCGCCACTCATAACACAACCACTGAGGTGATAAGCTTGGAAAATGTTTTGCCGTTATTAACCTGTGTCAAAAGCTTTAAATGTTTGTTTGGCTGGACTTGAGCACTGTATGAAGTCCCAGTGTGTCAGTCAGGTAACACGGGAGGTGGGACAGCACTGCAAAGTGAGAAGCAGCAGACTTTTAGCTTCTTCACATCACTTTTCTCCAAAAGCCTCAATTACACACCCAGTTTTGAGGAAAACGCACAAAATCGTCACTTTTTCATATTCGTATTGCACATAATACAAGATGGCCAACCTAAAGGTCATTTGATGGCAGTGAAGATATAAATATGTGTTGGTCTATAAAAGCATTAGATTCATTGCAGGTTTATTATAATACAAGGTCAAAGTCTATGGTGGCTGCACCAGTCCTCATAAAACACTTGACTCCAACCATATAAAAAGGAACGTGGTATCACTTGGTTTATTTCAAACATACCATTACTGATCTGAAATAATGTACAGTAATAATCATATATGAACATGTTACCAGGTGGCACCTTCTTCTTCATAATCTTAGTTCATCTGGCAGATCTCAGCACTGTGTGTGTGGGGCCTTTAACACTCCTTCTACCTCCTGTTGGAGCTGCAGCCCCGCCCCTAGCTCTTAACCAAATGCTGTAAACGGGAGCCATGCAAATCGAGCTAAGCCACAGTTAGTCTGACGCAGAGAGCCGAGGATTTTCATGGATGCTGTGACATTTAAAATGTGCAGCTGGAGAGTGTAAAGGGTCAGTTCGACAAAATAAGTCCTTTTTCAACTAGGAGATTTCTCTACATGCATGCTGGGTTTAGGAGATTGTAATCAATACAATAGAGGTGATTTCAATGTATTATAAACCTCAGTGTCTTTCTCTGATTAAATTGTTTTAAAAGCAAATTTTACAACAGAAAGTAGACTTGTTGCAGTTTAACTCTTTTTAAATGTTTTTTTCAAAACTTCCAGCACAAAAAAATATTTCCATCACCCTTATTTTATACAAATAGCTAAAACCCTGTACCGTGTACAGTGTGATATTGTATGTATGGTAAGACTTTTAAAGAGCCGTAAATCATATTTTACCTGGCCAATCAATGAATCTCGGTGACAAAATTCTACTTTTTTAAAACAATCGTGGCCTTATTCTCATCTCAGAATAGAGGGAACTAACCACAAGCGAAACTTTTCCCCAGAACACTTTGACTTGCAAATAAAATGTGCCATCCCAAAAAGTCCTCCATTAAGATATTTCATGAGGTAAATATTGCGAAAGAGAGGAATCCGTTTTAATCAGATGTTTATCGTCCTGTGTTTGAACTGTTGCTTCTTCTTTGTGTACTTTGTGTTTTTAGGCTCCGGGCCTGTTTTACTGTGCAATGTAAAATAAATAATTTTATATATTTATATAAATGTTTTAACAAAGCTTGCCTCTTGTTGAACATGAATAAATTCCTTTTTCAATTACACTTGAAGTGATTTCTTGAAAATGGGAAAGAAAGGTTTTTATGTATAAATCTCACTCCCAGAGTTTATCAAAAATGTATATATTCTGAATGCATGATTTAAAATACATGTCTTTAGGTTTGTAAATGTGGCTAATGCTGCCTATAGCAGAGTATTAAAGATTACATATAGTCAGGAAAGATATTTAAACAATATGTAAAAGGTTTTACAGCCTGATGCTGCTTACAGGATCCACAACTTTCTTTATGCCATGTTGTTGTTATGTTCTTCATACGGTAACAGTCTACAGAAAATAATGTGTCCAGAAATACCTTCTATTGTAGTTACACTTTTTATTTGTTAACTTTTATGGGGCATTTTACATTTAATTTCTATTTTGTTTGTCTTTATGTATTTGTTGGCAGCTTCTTATAACTTATATGTATATCATATTTTATTTTGTTCTAAAATGGAACAAATGTCCCGAAAAACAATTTCCTGATTCTGATTCTACATGCATCACCTGTAGTAACTGGGCTCTAATAGTAAGCATGGTCATACTGGTGCATTAATGGAGGATACATGTATACATTGTTACTACCTTCAGTAGATTATGTCAACTCATTGCTCAATTGAAGTGTTCCACATTCTTGATTTCCCAGCAGGGGGAGCTGTAGCACCAGGTCTCGCTGCAGCTGAGTTCTTCCTGTTTTGCTAATGCTCAGATACTGAATGTTCAGAGGGAAGTCAGACATGGTTTAGTATCAATGCTTTAGGATCAACAGGGCTACATTTAGCTCATGAGTCCGGTATATGATTAATAACGAGATAAACCTACAGCATTTGATGTGGCGAGTTGGGAAGTACAAATACTTTGTTACTGTATTTAAGTAGATTTTTCTGGTATCAGTTCTACTCCAAGACAACGCTTTACTTTTACTTGATACATTTGTAACACAACACCTGTACTTTTAACAGTTTCATAACAGGCTTTAGTTTGAATCAGCATTTGGTCATTGATCATTATTATTTAGTCATTGTGTGCCTATGTTTTTATTTATTTGACTTGTCCCCCCATACAGAACAAGACAACAGTAATAGTACGGAAACATTCAAACATGATATAAAAATTAAATAAAGCAATAGAAAGATAAAAAATAACAATACAAATAAATAAGTCACATATTATCATTATTGACAAACAATAATTTATAAGATATTTTCAAACATACACCAGCCAATTAATCATACACTTATTGTCACGGGAAAGGCTGAGGTAAACTTGACTACAGCAAATCTGTATTCTGATTCAGTTCAAAAAAATATTCACATACAGTGGGGCAAAAAAGTATTTACTCAGCCACCAATTGTGCAAGTTCTCCGACTTAAAAAGATTTTCATCCTAGGTATACCTCAACTATAAGAGACAGAATGGGGGGAAAGAATCCAGGAAATGACTGTCTGATTTTTAAATAATTTATTTGCAAATTATGATGGAAAATAAGTATTTGGTCACCTACAAACAAACAAGATTTCTGGCTCTCACAGACCTGTAACTTCTTATTTAAGAGCTTGTTATCAGTATAAAAGACACCTGTCCACAACCTCAAACAGTCACACTCCAAACTCCACTATGGCCAAGACCAAAGAGCTGTCAAAGGACACCAGAAACACAATTGTAGACCTGCACCAGGCTGGGAAGACTGAATCTGCAATAGGTAAGCAGCTTGGTGTGAAGAAATCAACTGTGGGAGCAATTATTAGAAAATGGAAGACATACAAGACCACTGATAATCTCCCTCGATCTGGGGCTCCACGCAAGATCTCACCCCGTGGGGTCAAAATGATCACAAGAACGGTGAGCAAAAATCCCAAAACCACACGGGGGGACCTAGTCAATGACCTGCAGAGAGCTGGGACCAAAGTAACAAAGGCTACCATCAGTAACACACTACGCCGCCAGGGACTCAAATCCTGCAGTGCCAGACGTGTCCCCCTTCTTAAGCCAGTACATGTCCAGGCCCGTCTGAAGTTTGCTAGAGAGCATTTAGATGATCCAGAAGAGGATTGGGAGAATGTCATATGGTCAGATGAAACCAAAATAGAACTTTTTGGTAAAAACTCAACTAGACGTGTTTGGAGGAGAAAGAATGCTGAGTTGCATCCAAAGAACACCATACCTACTGTGAAACATGGGGGTGGAAACATCATGCTTTGGGGCTGTTTTTCTGCAAAGGGACCAGGACGACTGATCCGTGTAAAGGAAAGAATAAATGAGGCCATGTATCGTGAGATTTTGAGTGACAACCTCCTTCCATCAGCAAGGGCATTGAAGATGAAACGTGGCTGGGTCTTTCAGCATGACAATGATCCCAAACACACCGCCCGGGCAACGAAGGAGTGGCTTCGTAAGAAGCTATTCAAGGTCCTGGAGTGGCCTAGCCAGTCTCCAGATCTCAACCCCATAGAAAATCTTTGGAGGGAGTTGAAAGTCTGTGTTGCCCAGCGACAGCCCATTACAGGCTTTACCGCCTTTTATTCTATATGGAAATAATGAATAGTATACGTACATTTTGTTGAATTTCTTGACTATAACAATAAAGGAAAAAAGATGGAGTCAAAGTTTATATGGGATCTTTTTGCTGCACCACGCGTAACCACCAAACAAATTAAATTGTCTCTGACAAGTTTTCGGTTAGTCAAATGTTTTTAGTTCTAAATTTTGGTTCCAGTATAAGACGGATTAAAAAGTCCAAGTATAAATATACAAACAAGAGATGACACTGTATAAGGTACGAAATTACAAGTTTTTTAGAGAAATAAAAAGAAGTATGACGTCGTGGAAGAAATTGTGGGAGACAGACTTTGGTCTCCGGGTCAGCTAGTCCTGAACTGGCCGCTGGGAACACAAGAAAGCATTGGTCAGGGATGTTTACATAAAAACAACTTGAGGGCAGGAGTGTAGTCTCTACCGTTTCCATTGTGTGGGAAGGTGAGTCATCTCATTGTCTAGGTTGTGTAAACCTTATGTGAGACCATTTTCAACTCAAGATGACTGATTGAAGAAATGAGTTCATTTCCATTTTCCTCAAACCCGAAATTTTACATTAGTAACCAATTTTTCAATCTGGTATTGATTGGTTTGGACAAAATTAACTCAGTTCGCCATTGACTGAGTGACATAGATTATCTTGTAATTTCTAGAAGATAAAAAGTTTAACATTTGACAGGTAACAGGGTATGCGACTTTAGGTACGAAAGACATACTGTAATCCATACCTTGTCCTACTGAAGAGGGTAAATTGTCACCCGTTTTTCATAAATCAGTCGGTGGCTAAAGTTCAAGAGGGTGAAATTTTTCTACTCTTCCGGACATTAAAAGTAGGATCCCATATGAGTTGATTACGTCTCTGTTTTACTCTTTTTTTTTAGGTCTTTTAGTTGTAACAGGATTTAAAAAATTCTTAAATAAACGTTAATACCACTCTTTATTCATAAACCAGTTAATTGTTTTCCAAGGTTAGTAGTTATGCAACCAATATATGGAAACAACCGTTACTGTCTCCAAGGTTTGCAAAAGACGGATTCAGAAGTGTTCCAAAAAGTGTTGACAACGACCAAAAACGGGGTAAGGAGAGGTACGTCTAGAGGAGANACACACACATGCACACGCATAGACACACATGCACACGCACAGACACACAGACACACACACATGCACACACACACACACACACACACACACACACACACAGTGTGTGTGTGTGTGTGTGTGTGTGTGTGTGTGTGTGCATGTGTGTGTGTCTGTGTGTCTGTGCGTGTGCATGTGTGTCTATGCGTGTGCATGTGTGTGTGTGTGTGTGTGTGTGTGTGTGTGTGTGTGTGTGTGTGTGTGTGTGTGTGTGTGTGTGTGTGTGTGTGTGTGTGTGTTTTGTGTGTCAAACCTGCTGCTTGCACGCTGACCTGCCAAGCCTACAGTGAAGGGGGTTTGGCTGCCGATCTTCTCTGCTATTGTCTGCCTGCCTAAGTGTTGCTGACAGGGGATTATGGCAAATACAAAACGCCGTATGGACCAAAGAAACACAGTGCCAAACTTCATAGACACACGCATGCATGCATGAAGCTCCATGTTGAGAGCTCTGTTTGATTGCACTAATTCTTTTTTTCGGTGTGCGTTCGTCCATGTGTCTGCTTTAGTTGTCTCTGACGTCTGCAACATTTAATCATTTTAAATGTTCTTTTAGAGGGGAAATAGTATTGAATGTATTTCTTACACTTTCTTACACTTAGGCACAATGCAGCACTCAAACCACCTGTAACCATGCACAAACTCATAAGCAGCTCACAAAATGACTGACTATTCTGCTTCATAGTTTATAGACAATTAATACTATCTTCCTGCAAAACAGACTTCAGCTAAGCTACTGTACCTGTGNTTTTGTACGAATGCTCCGGGCCAGTGGTTACAATGGTGGGGCCAGTGATAATACAATTCCACCCTTAATGTCTACCCCTGTGCTGTGTGTTATTTGTAACATTTTCATAAAGTATAATTTATTGTGTTAACACTGTAAACTTGACAGTTTTTTAACCCCTAGTGGTTAAAGCACGTTATAGAATTTTTTTGTTGAATATGTTATATTTGATGAAAAAATGTAAATATTAAGAGTAGCCTACATACAAAATAGGGGAAAAGTAGAAGATCAATGATAGAAATATAGAATAGAAAATATCAAGAAGATACT